CAGCAGTTATGTAGTCGATGAACTGTTTCGTTGTGGTAAAATGGAGCTGAGCAGAAAACGAAGCTCTCGATTCATCAGTCAATCTACGTTCCTACTCTCACCTATTGTCATGAGCTTTGGGTCATGACAGAAAGCCCAAGATCTCGGATACAAGTGGCTGAAATTAGTTTTCTTTGCAGGGTGGCAGGGCGCATCCTTATAGATAGGATAAGGAGCTCTGTCACCGAGAGGAGCTCGGAGTAGAGCTGCTGCTCCACCACATTGAGAGATGTCAGCTGAGGTGGCTCAGGCATCGGTTTCAGATGCCAGCTGGACGCCTACCTAGGGAGATGTTTTAGGCATGTCCCACCAGGAGGAGACCTCGGGGAAGACCCAGAACAAACTGGAGGGACTATGTCTCTCGGCTGGCCTGGGAACGCCTCGGGATCCCCCAGAAGTGCTGGAGGAAGTGTCTGGAGAAAGGGAAGTCTGGGGTTCTCTCCTGAGACTGCTGCCCCCGCGACCCGGCCCCAGAAAAGTGGATGAAAATGAATGAATGAAAAACACACTTTTTACAGGGCAGCTATATTGTTAAAGACAAACGCTAGTTATTTTTTCCCACTATTGGTTAAAAAAATATTTTGATTAAAAAAGGAATTAAAACAAAACAATGTTGAAAGATCAAGAGCCTTTCAGACAGAGGTATGAATTTCTGTTTTCATGTGATTTTATAAACTGATGGTTAGGATTGTGCAATTAATCGAAAATTTTTTATTTCTAACGATTATGAAAAACCATTAATCGAGATAAGCGATTATTGCATCATATACCTCCCCCTTTCTAGTTGTACAAATTTGTTGCTCTTAAAAGCGTGAAAGACCGCATGCTTTGTGTGTGTGTGTGCGCGTGTTTGTGTGCGGCTTGCACACACAATCAGAAGCATGCAGTCAGCATTCTGTCTCATTCGCACACTGAGACGAGCAGAGCGCACACATCTAAAGTCATCTTAATTGAGCGATTTAATGGTCAAATAGGTGTCAAAGCCCGGTGTTTAGTGATTATTCATCTTAACCCTCATTTGTGTAATAAACAAACGAGCTGATAATAAAAAGACATGTGAAACGGAAACCATTAAAGTGACAGTGCAATATTTCTGCTGCCGCCTGTTTTTATCATTATTCAAACAACTAAAGGAGAGCATCCCTCGCTGCTCTTGACTGAAGACTTTTGTAGCTAAAGTGTTTTTCTTACAGTGAAGATGCTTCAAGCACAGTTTGTTTCATATTTTTATTCTATTGTATTTATTTCTCTTTCCTTTGCTGGATGGAAAAAAAAAACTGCATATATGCAGTTGAAGTCAGAATTATTAGCCCTCCCGAATATTAGCAAAAGGGGCTAATAATATTGACCTTAAAATAGGTTTCAAAATATTCAAACCTGTTTTTATTCTAGCCAAAATAAAACAAATAAGCCTTTCTCCAGAAGAAAAAAAAAGAGGAAATAATGTTAAAATTCCTTGCTCTATTAAACATCATTTAGGAAATATTTATTTAAAAAAAATTCTCAGGAGCGTTAATAATTTTGACTTCAACTGATAATTGTTTTGAATAATCGTTATTACATTTAAGACCAAAATATTCGTGATTATGATTTTTTTTTCAAAATTAAGCAGTCCTACTGATGATATAAGATTTATGTATTGAATATGTTTGAAATATTTTAATATGATTATAAAATATTTTTATAGAATTTCTCCAGGGAAATGTTATAATCGTAAGAAATATTATCATCACAATATTCAACAATATCGCATGTTTTCCCAATATTAAGGAATCAACCTAAAATAAGACATATTTAAGTATGCCTGTTGTCATTGACTAAGGCAGTTTGCTTAATCTGTCAAAGAGCTATCAAATAGATAAAACTTACTACACTGTAAACAAAGGACTCATATGAAAGGAACAAATAATACAATTAAACCAACAGATAGATAAAATTCTGTGCTTTGCAATTAAAAGCAGAGAGGGTGGTATGTTTATTTTGAATATATATATTTCAAAAAGTAGAGATAACAAGTGCCTAACAAGTTCTTAGACCATTCATTCTATCAAATGGTTTCCTCTACAGCAGTGGTTCTCAAACTTTTTTCATCAATTACAACCTCAGAAAAAAAATGTCTCTCCAAGTCCCACTATAAAGACCAGTATCGAAATACTGTAGCGTAGTAAGCCCAATAAAGCAGCTATAGCTCTGGACAGTTTAAAAACGTGGCAGATTAATTCCTATTATTAAGAATATTTTTTTATTGTCAGCCACTTTAAACATTATAAATAGTTAGAACATTAACAGTGTACTGTGCTTATAGGTAAAAATAAATAAATAAATAAATAAATAAAACATTTAAATTAAAATTTGCTTTTAAAATGTAAAAATGAGGACACCTGTAAATATGGGCTATATGTCATCATATTCATATATAAATTATTTTTGATAATTTTTTAAATACAAGTAGCATGTACATATGACATATTTGATTCCATCGCGTACCACTAAAAGGAAGCCCGCATACCACTAGTGGTACACGCACCACAGTTTGAGAACCACTGCTCTACAGCATAAACTAATGTGATGTTTTATGGGCATTCCCGGCTATGTCGACCAAGTAAATTAATATGAGTATTTAACTCTTTCCACCCAGTTTATTACATGAAGTAAATGTCAGAAATTAAAAAAAAATTACTTATTAAAATTTTTAAAATGCGACAGTAAATATATTCGATTTTACCACTAGGTGTAAAATTTCTTTTAGAATCCATATCCAAACATCCAATTGTTAAAGCATTAAACCAAGTGTAGGGCTGGGCGATATGGCCTTTTTATTTTAAATCTTCAATTTTATTTATTTTATTTTATTTTTTTTTTACAAAAAAAAAAAAAAAATCCCACAAAAAAAAATGTGTTGAAGATTTAACCTACATAATTAGCTTAAGCATATAATTATATAAATTTAGGATAAAAAGAAATTCTAAAGACAAAACTTTCCCTTAAGCTGTCACTTAAAGTTCAAATTTAACAAGATTTATTTACAATTGCATACAAGACTCTTATAACAATAATGTCAGTTAAAGCATTTTATAAGATTACAATGAAAGTAAACTAGAGTGAAAGTTTAAAGTGTTAAAAAGGGTTTCAAGATGATCCATTTCATCATCTTGTACTGTTTATTTCAACATGAAGTGACACTTCGAGGTTTATTCAGCGTTATACAAGTTCATATTAATTACTTATGCTATGCTAATTGGTTACCTTTTATTGCTTTTATTTGCATCGGGCTGCTGTATCTGCTAGACTCCTAGTGCACATAGTGAGTTTTGTCAGTGTTGATATGTACAGTACTGAACGTCTTTGCGGCTGGGTCATGTAATTTATCCAGTAACAGCAAAATCGGATTCATTTGCACTTTCATATCTTGTCCATTAAATGTCTATTATCTATTCAGATGCCTAGTCTTTCACGATTTCTATTTTTTTTGTGATAAAAATGACAATTTTGTGGTGGTAATTCCCATAAATTTGTGGACAATTTTTTGATTAAAAAAAAAAACAAAACATTTAAATGTAAAAAAATTATCAGTATTTACCATGTTAGGTAGCCTACTATACTATGCTAGGTATGCAATCTGAAACAATGACAATGAAACAATCATAAAAATAAAGCTTCTTTATTTTGGTCTCTAGTCAAGACCTGTAAGGTATGGATTAAGCCAAAGCAAGGTTGCATTAATCTCATTTTCATCCAAGATCTTAATTTCTCTCAGACTTCACTCCACCGGAGCATCGGACATCATGTCACACATAGGACATATTCTAGGGCTTCCCCTAGCTTAATACACCTAAAACATGTATTGCCATAAAGCTCGTCAATGGCAGGGAACAGAAGCGTTCTCTTGTTAACTACAGCAAAAGAATTAAACGAAATAATTTATTGATTTGACGCACATCATAATACCAGCCAAAGGACAAATAATGTACTTCAATTCTGTCACGTCTAGGAATGGGACGATAACCGTTTTCAAGGTATACCACGGTTTGGAAAAGTCAAAGTTTAAAAAATTTTCTGTAATACTGTACCTAAGGTTTGTGTAATATTTTTATTTAATTTTTTTTAGGACAACAGTATCTTCAGCATAAAAATATCCAAAGATGCTATTTTAAATTGTAAAGAAATCTGTGGTTTTGAAATTAATGAAAACAGCAGAAGTCAATGATTCATTTGAATTATTTAGCCTGATATGTTTTCTGCTCCAAACTATCATAAATCTTTCAAAAAATAAAATATATTGTTTTCAAAGTTTTTGTTTTTTTACCCAGACATTTAAAAAGAATTTATTTTAGAGCAGTAATCGCAATAACGTGATATTTTTATCCAAGGTTATCATACCATCAGAATCTTACACTGGCCATATTACCAAAAATATAATTTCATAATATGGTTTGAAACTTGATGTTTTGTGTGATTATTTTTCATTTAATCAAGAATTTTGCAGAATCGCAAAAACTTGTGACTTTTTGTTGATTTCGTGTTGGATTTAGCGATCTCGAAATCGCGAAAAATAAAGTGGTCTGATTATTACTTCTCACGGTGAGAAATACTAAATGTGGCATGTGAGCTGCTTTAAATGCATGATTGCATGTGTCTCACGGCGAATGTATGACTGAGAGTCCGTAATTATGCCTTTTAAGCTCTTTTCATTTCATAGAGCACAACATTTGTCTTCCCTGCTTGCTGCCATCTATTGTTTGTGTGTTTCTATGGTAAAGCCCAGAGGAGAGCATTGAAAATAGATTATCATTTAAACAATTCAATGTAAACTATACAGTTGAGTTAATTGATAAAGTCGATTTATCGGGCAGCCCTACATCAACAGTGAGACAACTCTTCTCAGCCCATTAGCAAATTAGTTAAGTGCATCAGCACATCTGTTATGCACTTATGAAGCAAAGCAAAAACATCATGCAAACCTGCTCTGCTGTGCGTGCCTGTGTGATACGATGCCTGTTGACACTGGCCCGAACTCGTTCGCTCTGCTGGGTCCGTGCAATAGCACGTGTCGGTCTGGACCGGGAATGACTAGTGGTGGGAAGAGAGCTGCTCTCCTCCTCACTGATTTGTTCAGAACCTTAACGAAAAAATTAGGAACAAAATATGGTTATTAAAACACCAATAACATTTTTAAATAAATGTTCCACTTATAACAGCAAAATTTTAAGCACTGAAAAAAAAAACAATCAGAAAACAAAAAATGTGTATTTAAATGCAATGACTTTTACAATATACATGTTATAATATGCATGTTTCATAGCTCAGTGACCTTACAGAGCATGTCAGAAAAATAATGAAGGCCTCATGACAATCACGTTTTTATGATTTACGACAACTGTTGTTGCTTTGGTAATGTCAAGTTATCTTAACAAAGACATTTGTGGATGGATGTGTATTTATGCATGTATGTATGCATGCATGTGTATATATATATATATATATATATATATATATATATATATATATATATATATATATATATATATATATATATATATATATATACACTTTAGCTCCATCCACAGATTCTCAATTGGATTTAAGAAAGGACTCTGACTAGGCCACTGTAAAATGTTTTTGGATGCTAACCATTTTTTCACTAATTTCGCTGTGTACTTTTTTGGCTCCTCTCTGAGATTCACTAATCAACACCGATCATTTTTAACATCCAAGCTTATTAATGATTAACTGATTAATGTCATCAGTCAATTCCTAAAAATTATGTTGTTTTAATAGGGAATGTATAGATTTGATTTTTTAAAAACAATTTTTAAAATGATTTTTAGAAGACATTATCATTTTCATTATAAAATTTATAATAATATGAAATTTTGATCTGTTCACACAAATAAAAAGTAACTTTTTTGTTTAACACATACCGCGAAACAGCATTATATATACCGTATTTTCCGCACTATAAAGCGCACCGGATTATAAGACGCAGTCTCAATTACGGGGTCTATTTCTGTACTTAACCCATACATAAGGCGCACCATATTATAAGGCGCACGCTAAAATACACTGTCTGCAAAAAAGGTAATGGAAGCAAAACAGTTAACATAGTTTAGTTGAACTTTATTGTACTATTTAACAATACACTCACATTATTATTTTTTTTAATCAGTCTTCTCCCAAAAATCCATCAAAGTCCTTATCTTCTGTGTCTGAATTGAACAGCTGGGCAGTTTCGTTATCAAACACGCCGGGTTCTCTCTCATCATTGTCGGAGTCAGTCTCATTGCCGGGTGGCTGTTCAGCAATGATGCCGGCTTTTGCGAAAGCTCGGACAACAGTTAAAGCAGACACCTTAGCCCAGTCATCCACAATCCATTCACATATGGTGGCGTAACTTGCCCGTCATGCCTACCAGTCTTAGTAAAAGTGTGTTCGCCGTGTGTCATCCATTGCTCCCACGCAGCTCGCAACTTCACTTTAAACGCCGTTTACACCAATATCCAGCGGTTGGAGTTCTTTTGTTAGTCCTCCCGGAATGACAGCAAGCTCCGAATTCATTAAAGTTGGTCTTCTAACTGTGGCCACCTTGCTTTGTACCCACAGAAACTCTGTTTTGTCTTCTTAACTTGGCGCAGTTCATATTCTTGTTTCCTCCACTTCCGAACCATAGATTCATTAATGTGGAATTGTTTCGCAGCTGCTCTATTCCCATTTACAACTGCTTGTTGTTGTAGTTTGAATTGTGCCTCGAAAACATGTCTCTTCACTGGTGCCATTTTCGAGCATCATTAGACAAACATATGTGGTTTTGATTGATTTATTGATGCTGCATACGGAGTGTGCGTTTTACGTCTCTGTGTCGGCGGGAAATGCTCCGACAGCCAATCAAGCGGAGCGCTTTACAAAATCACACAACATTTTTACAGATTATATATATATATATTTTTTTTCCCCCTTTTTTCTTTTCTTTATTGCTATCTGTAGTGAAAATTATTCAGCTTAGGGCTCTAAACAATGCTAACACTTTCCACCTATTTAGCTTCAAATTTGGGCAGACTAATGTTTGGACATGTTAATATACATCACATCTGATGTTATATGTCTTCAAAGGATTTTTAAGGGGTGTGTGAACTCATGCACAAATTCCAAAAACATTACATGAATGATCCAAAATGAAACAATCCTAGCTTAAATCTACTTGGTTATTTTCCAAAGTTTTATGTAAAAACAGTCTTCAAATAAAAGTTTAAGAATAGAGTAATTAAAAAAAAATAAAGACAACCTGATGTCCGGTTGTTGGCGATGCACTCTGGGCAGAACCATTCTTCTACAGGTACAGCATCCAAAGGTGGTGTGAGACATTCCATGTGGTACCTTTCATTAAAAAAAAATGTAAGTGAGTGAACGCGTAAATATGCATAGACTACCACCAACTCTAGTGTTTGGATCACTCATCCTTTAGAGAGAAAATAATAATAAAAATACATACAAAAACATTGTAAAGTGGGGGCTTGCAAAGCAAAAAATAACAGAAAAAAAAAGAAAAAGTCATTCTACACCTTACTCTTAATAGGAAAACTCATTTGAAGACTCATTATGAAAGATAAAGTGATATATTTTGCAATTTAATTTGTTTAAAAAAATGTCTATACAAAAAATTATTTTTATTATACCTGTTTTAGTAAACATTTTGCAGCTTGGTCAATATCATAACACCTTATAATGTGATGAAAGCTTCAGCTAGCAATCACAACTAATTAGATACTGGCAGAAGCCTAATTTAAAGATTAACTTCCTTTGATGTCAACTTTGTCTTTTGCAGACAGTTTTATCAAACAGCAACTGTATGCACCAACAAAAATGTAAAAAGAACAATAGGACCCCTTTTAGAGATTGTCAAACATTTCTTACCCTGCATCACATCCATCGCATAGCAGAAGGCGATCTTCACGGTCTCGACCCCCGCAAATTTCACAGCTGGTCTGATCCAAATCCACTTCCACCTGTTCCTCCGCAGGTTTTACAGGCTTTTTAACTGCAATCTAAGCAAACAAACCAATTCTCTATGACTTTCGCTGTGCCTTAGTGAAGTTGGAAATCATGATTAAGAGATTTAAGCAGATGAATGAAAAGGCAAAAAAATTAAGATATTGATGTTGGAAGAGACATGTCAAAATGACAGAAACACACAGCAAAACATGTTTGCTAAATGTACAACAAACAACAAAAAAAGCTTAAATTTAAAGTTTTTAATCTTAAGGAGAGTTTATATTCAGAAGACTTGAACTTAAGCATTTATATATTTTTTGGAGATCCAGAAATCCCTTATTTTATGAAATAGCTTCATTAGTGGTCTGAACAAGAACACATTTCTTAGGCTTTTGACAATATTAAGAAGAGCAAATTGCAGAAATTAAATTTTAGGGTGAACTAATCTTTTAAAGGTCATTCACATGTAGCGTTGGGTACCGAAACCCGGTGCCATTATAGCACCGGTACCTTGGTAACCGGTATGTATCGGTATTAAATCAGCGTATGAATTTCGGTGCTTAATTTCGGTGCTGTGGCAAGGACGTAAGCATCAAAGGGGTGCATGAAAAAAGGCACAAATAGGCGTTGTGTCACATCATCACTAAACATTTAATTCTAAACAACTTTGAGGAATACGAACAGCGATATCAGGTGTTTGTTATTGTCGCTAGGGAACAGATGCACGCAAGTAGTACAGCGCATTCAGCCTGGTTTTTAGTGAGCGAAAGCGTCACTCTACACGCGTGATCACGTTCATACAATTTGCTTAAACTAAGCATTCTAAAGCGTATTTTACAAGCAAGGATTCTTACACAGCAACTGTCATTACAAAAGTTGATTGTAAGGGGGAAACATGTCAAACTTAATGACACAGGGCTCAAAGGCAGAGGAATGCCTCTTTCACGTGCTCTAAATGTCACGCGCAATCGCTCCCTCTCTCTGGCACTCTCTTTCGCGGCACTTTCTCTGTGAAGGTGCTGCGCGCATCAGTTCCCCGCATTCGTCAGTTGACGCTCAAATAGACACAGGTAATAAAAAAATAAACTTCAGTCATGTTCATGTTGTGAAACACTATCAAAATGTCCACTGTTGATGATATTAGACTTTTGTTTTCAATAGCGATTTTAACACTTTTAATATAAGAAGTCCTCGGCTATGCAGAGACCATTTTTAAACAGAAATCTAGTGTTTGTAGTTTTACGTTAGGAAACGCAGTCTGGAATTTACAAACAGTCGGCAAGTACCAAAGAACAGATGCAACACATTGATCAAATGTAGTTTTCAGTCACGCTCATGTCAGTCATATTCAACTCGTTTAGTTTTGCCTTCATTCATTTTTGATTTCCGTCTTCAACACATGATTTATTTACAACACATTTTTAAACATAATAGTTTAACTAACTCATTTCTAATATCTACCTTTTTATCTTCCCCATGCCGACAGTCAGTGCATAACATTTTACTTGTTATTTTGCAAAACAGTTGTATTCAGACAAAGTCCCTTTAAGTATTTTATATTTTTTTATTAAGATTAAAGTGTAATTTAGACTTAATCAGTTAACTATGAAAGTTGAAATAATTAGTCAAATTATTTTGTAACTGATTTGTTGTGTAAATCAAAAATATACAGTAAATATATTCTAAGGAGGCTAATAATACTGACCTTATTTTTATTTAAATTAAAAACATTATTTTAAATGAATGGGAGGGCAAAATAAATAGACTTCAACTGTAGGCCTGTTAAAGTTTACAGGTGCAGCAATGTGCCTTGATGTACTTGAATGTTAGAAATGTGTTATCCTACAACAGTATAAGGTTAATTGTCAAATAAATGAACAAGGAAGATTATGTGAGTTTAAGTTATTTAATTATCTTGTTTATGAAGACTGCAGAGTGATGCATGAAGAAAAATTACTTTGAATAATGTTTTAAGTATTTTGTGATATAGAAGTTAAAATGTGCTCCTAAAAGTATGTGACCCCTGCCCGCCCCCCACAGGTTAATAGTAAGCTAATGTAATTTCATATTGCAAATCTTAAATTCATGCTAAACAACAAATGATCAAAGGAAATGTATTAATGTAATACAATATGAATTGATGTTTACTTTAAACTTTTATTATATTGTTCTATTAAAATGATTTTTTAAAAGATTGTCAAATAAAATATTTTTGTAGAGTCATCTACCTTCACTTTCGGGCTAAAAGATATCGGTTCAGGCACCGTTTTGGCACCGGTATCGTTTTAAAAGTATCGATTTGGCACCGGTATTGAAAAAAAAAAACTATACACAACCCTATTCCCATGTCATGCAGCCTATATACAATTATTTTAATTGAGGAACAATATCAATGAAATTATTAAAAACAATTACAGCTAATTTCCAATAACAAACATTGACAGGAAATCACAAACTTAAATATCTTATGCTTTTGAAGCTACAGTTGACAATCAAAATAAGTAGAAATTTCACCTTAGTCAGTGTGAAGTTGAATACTTATTTTTACTAGCATCATTCTTGGTGTAAACCATGTGTAAAGCAATTCTGAAGAGATGCATTACATGACTCACTGTTTTTTGGATTTTCCCACCATGGCACTTTCTCAGGATAATGTTATTAAAGACTATTCGGTCCACAGGGCAGGAGTTGGCATTCTGGGAAAGAAAAAGAGTCACATTACTGTTTATGAACCAGAGTTATTATAGTTAAAGGGGTTGTGAACAGGCTTTTTATAAATTTATATGATGTATTATTACTTTCAAAATTATTTTTCAACGTGGTTTTGAGGCCATCTCAAAGAAGGAGCAGATTTTATGGGCGGTGTGCACTGTCAGCTTGAAAGTATAGGCCCACTGCTATGATTGGATAATAGTTCTGATTAGTAAACTACCTTTCGTCTCCCCATTAGTTCATGTGAGGAATACGTCTGCGTAGCAGGTTAAAAATTCCTTTGAAGGGTTTGCATTCCCTATTGATGTTTACCAGTGTGAAAAGTGACATCCCATTACATCAGTGACAAGTCAGGGTGTTTAAGTGCACATATGTGATTTCACAACCAAATGTTTAGTGAATCTCAATGACATGTTTATTGTTGTGGCTTGATCCAATCCTGACCAGTAGGCTGAGCAATAGGATCAGGCACTGATATTCTTCTATGAAGGCGTTACTTAATTTACTTACATCCTCATGAAGAGGCACATAAAACACATGTAAACAAAAGGTTGCAACGCTTTCCCGCCTCCTAGTTCTTCTGATTGGTCCATTGCTATGGATCTGACATTGATGATAAGTGGTGTTCCATGTAAACGTTGAAATTCTTTTATCTTGACATGGTGCCCTAAAACGGCACTTATCTGAGATGCTGCAAAAGACGCACGTTTAGAGGGTCATGCACATCCGTGAAGTATCCGTTTGCAAAAAAAAAAAAAACAATGGAAATATAAAATGCTGTGCCATCCTGAGTGCAAATAAGCTAGTCTGTTTCATTCTTTATACACACGCACAAAAGCAGTGACTGATTGCATTAGCCCTTTTTTATGTACGATCACACTGGAGTAATTAGAACATTCAGAGCACATGGCATCATCTGCTCAAATCTGATGGCTTTCACTGAAGCATAGAAAAAGGTGCTCATCCAAAAACAAAGGTGTGTACTATAACATGCTATCTGTGCCACATTACCTCTAATACATCAAACAGTCAAGTAAAAGATGGTATCTTAGTTCATGACCTCTTTCATTGAAACCATAAAGTTAAAGATCAAAATATTTAAAAGTTTCTTCTCATCGGTGTCAGTATAGGGCACAACAAGTTCAAAAGAATGCTGTATATCTTTAAAAAAAAGATATTTTAAATAAATTCTTTATTTTTTGTTTTATGTCTTGACAATATTCTGCTTGAACCTCTGAAGGCATATGGTCTGTTCTGAGAATGCTTTCTGAACTCTGAATGAGAGATTTAATCTCAGATTTAATCTAAAATTCCTTAATTTGTATTTTGAATATGAACGAAGATCTCAGTGGATTGGAACAACAAGAGGGTGAGAAGTTATTTAACAGAAATCTTTAACAAAAATAAACTATTGAATATCAATTAATTAACCTGCATCCAGAGAAAGGCACAATGCTAGCAAAGGCTTCAAAAACTAGACAATCACTTTGCACAGGAGCCCTATGGTTAGCCAATTATTTCACCAAGGACCTGCAGGGATTTTTTTTTATAGTGATGCACCAATCGGGTTTTTCCGCGATCGATTCTGATAGATTTTTTGTAATAGCAAATCGACCGACTCCATACCATTTTTTTTTACTAGAAACCAGAAAAAATGGTTGTAATTTTTTTTATTTGCTTTATTACATGCTGAATCTGCAATGATTTCATCTGAGGCAACAACTGCACTTTAATCATGATCCTTACAAATAAGCAAAAAACATTATATTGAGTAATTGGTCATTTAAAATATATTGTACATTTTTCAGGTTTATTATATAAGATTGAAAATCTGACTATGTGAAATAATGCTACATAAAAAAAGTCTGCCTCTTTGCTTTTACTCCTCACTTGTACTTTATTGAGTAAGAAGTGGAAATTTACTCCACTTAAGAAATCAAATAGCCTACATATTTAATTTTGTTTGTTAAGTGCACAAATTTGTTTCAAAACTATTTCTAAATTTAGTTCTAATTTCCAGCAAACAAAAAAAGAATAATAATGATCAAATGTGGTAAAGAAAACTGTTATATCCAAACACACATCCTATTCTTATGAGCATATGGTGATGCATACATATCCAACACCCAACAGATGGACAAATCAAACATGTTTTTATTAAAGCAAATATAAATATGCAATGCATATAATAAATAATACTACTATTACTAACAACAATGACATTTTACAAATGCAAATTCTCATTAATAAACTAAAAAAGAGGCCCCCAAGGTGAAGGCATGGAGGCAGTGGTTTTTAGATTTGTGTAGAAAATAATAACTTTGTAATATTTTCATGCTTTAATTTTATACATAAAGATATGCCCTTTGCTGTACATCCTTTATGTATTAAGCAACGTGTACGCATTGAGGATAACTTACACAATCTGAGCTGGACTTTAGAACAAAAACAAAAATGAGCTGCACTAATGGAATGAAAGTTGTCTAACAGACCATTTTTATGACAAACAGTAAAATTTTAAATAAAACAGAAAATATAACAATTTAATTTATTTCAAACTATTAAATAAAACAACATAAGCATTAAGCAAATGTGGGTTAACTTACCTTTGACCATTCCAGAATACAGTCAAGACAAAAATAGTGTTCACAGGTCTCTGGTGTGGCCACAGGCTGCTCATGGAATGAGTTCAGGCAGATGGGGCATTTCTCTGAATCCTCATCTGAGCTCAGGTCCATTGCATCCACTGAAATATTCCCTACAGCTCCTTCTAGTACTTTGCCAGCATCTTCATCTAAAAACACAAAGCAAAAAGTGTTTTTCTTGAGGATGGTGTAGTCAGTTTTGTGATTTGCATATTTAAGATCAAGAGCTAACAAATAAATTGACTTAATTGCAAACACGATAAAGCAAAGATGTGAATGTCTTGCCCATCTTTTCAGGGAAGCATGTAGTATAATCTCTTCCAAAAGCCAGATGGCGCTCTAGTGCAGAAATTACAAATACCCATTAAAATCCAGGAAATTCCTTCAGCATTCCTATAATAAACAGAATATTTAACTACATTCACTGGATTCAGTAGAACTAATAAACAGATGACTACAGAATCATGTCACAGAATGATTTTTTTTAAACTCAACTAGTTATAAGCGTTGAATAAAAGCATCAAAACGAAAATCATTAGCATTTAAAATCAAAATAAATTTTATCAGATAATGAAAATTGAATAATCATTATGAGATAATGAAAATAATTTGCATAGCTTCTCAGTGAACAAACATGTGTGGTAAATGCTGTTACATCTGAAAAGTGCAACATTTAACAAAATTTTTACTCTAAACGAACTTCCTAACTTCAGCTGAAGGTTTATTGAAACCGGCTTTACAGAAAAAAATGGATTTGATTATTCTTTATGTAGGTAGTCAACAAATTCTTCCAGAACCAAACAAGTCGGTTGGTACCAAATGAATCCAAGTTCACCGCAGTCACTGAGACAAACGATTATTGGGTTCAACATGGACTTAGAAAAAGGTTATCCACACGGTGGCTGGCCAACTGTGATCACAAGTGCTCACTAAGTTACACAACATCCCAAGAACAACACAAATAGTCTCTACAGTCAAAGACCCCTAATTAGTTTTTTGAGAATTTTCATCAACCCCTTTTGTTCTCGCTGCCTTCTGTGCCTGTGTTGGGAGGACAAAGAACTAACCAAACCCAAAGCTAAACACAAATAAACTGCGTTTATTTGATTTAATATATGCTTGCTTTCAAGAGTACCTATTTACCCCCTTTTTAATAATTAAGATAAATCTTTGGTGTCTCCAGACTGTGTGTGTAAAGTTTCAGTTAAAAAAAACCCATCAGATTATTTATTATACCTTTCTGAATATAGGAATTTTAAGGTTTGAGAACACTGTAGCTGTTTTTGTTGCCTGTGCTTTTAATCCAAATGACACACAAATATTCCGCAACAAAGTTCATTGTTACATATATTATTAACTTTGCACTGTTTTTGCATGGCAAATGTGATAGGACACACGTTAACATACACTGTTGTATGGATATCTAGTATCCAAAAACCACGATTGAAGCGTCTTTGATATTGTACTGACTAGAGCTTTAATCGGGCCACAAAAATTAGGCCCAATAGGGCCCGAGCTCAACAGAATTCGGCCCGAGCCCTACAGGTACATTTTGATTGACAGCTTTATAAAGCCCAAACCCGTTTATAGCCCGACATTATTCAAATGTGCACATGGACACAGCTCTTTTGCCTTTTTTTTCAAGAATGAGTCAATTATATGTTTTAACACAATTTATTCGTTACAAACATATGGGCCAATTGGAAGTTGGAACAAAGAAATAAAATAAGTCTTCTGTAACATCGTAACATCTCAGCACCCTTAATAGGCTTAGGTACATACACTTTAGCCTTTAAATTGGCCAACACACTAATAAAAGAAGTCTTTCCAAACAAATTATATTAAAATAAATTCTAGATTACGATGGGTATTTGGCAATGGTGAATTTAACATAAAGGCTCTGCGAGATTTATTTCGCCACTTCATAATATGATCTTAGGCGACGGTGAAGCTGAATAGTAAAAGATTAGCATAATGCCAACATTAGTCTAAATACTCGGTCTACATTATGATTTTATGGTTTAAATTATATTTATTTATAATTTAAAAACCCTTTACTCACCAAGATTAGGCTACGTGTTTTTGTGGAGAAACATTATTGAATCTATTGTAAATTGCTTTAGAACAGTCCTGCACTCAGGATGGTGCGTAAAGCAGCACCAAACACCATTTCACTGCTGCTGCTACAGGCCGAGATACATAGTTCTGATCTGGTTAATTTTGGGTAGGATTGTTTTTTCATCTTCTACCAGCCAAGAACATCCACTTAATTTTCCATGACAGCGGTTTCAGTGTAGCAAGTGACCTCGTTATCTTCCCTGTCAGCTTGCTGTGCTGTTTAGCGCTCTACTGTAATGAGTGTATGAGCGATTGCTGAAATACCTTTGCGGCTATAATGACCGTTCTTTTTGGACTGGCGACTGGCCTGACTGCAGTCAAAATTAGCTTTTTTTTACTAAATTTTAAGTTTTAAGTTTTTAAAGTTTTTTGAAGTTTCACCTTTGCAGGGATGGATTTAAATGTTGTACCAAACGATTTGATTACTTTCTTGCGCTAATCGAAATGCATCACATGACTATTCATTTACTGTGCAAGTCAAGCCCGGCCCAAACCAACCCTGTCTAAAATGATAGAAATTGATCCCAAACCCGTGGGGTCCCGTTGGGTTCGGGCAAAGATCTTCAGCTCTAGTTCTGACACTATGTGCCAGTGGTGATGAATAAAATGGCAATTTTATTGTCTTTTCTTTATTACAAACATGCACTGTTTTAAAAATGTTTTCAACTTCTGAAACTCATTCTTGAGGTGCAGTTGATCACAGCGAGTTGAAACAGATCTTTTAATCATGGTTACTTCTCATATACGCTCTTGTGGATATAATTATACTTGTTACAATGGAGACGAGTATGATATACATACATACATACATACATACACACACCGCTCAAATACAATTTAAATTACTATTTTAATTGTAAGATAACATCCAGTGAATTAAACTGCTGGGATACTGATCTGATTAGATTAGTAGATTGTGTTGTCATTCCATTTTATTTGCTTTGGTGTTAAAGAAATTAATAATGAATGTTGTAGATCGACAACAATGCGACTTTCAAAACAGGAATGGTTTTACAAACAAAATCCACTGACAGTATTTTTTCAATGTCAACTTTTTTTTTTTTACTACAGTAATTTTCATGTTTTCTAACTTCTGGTAGCATGAGGTGATTACTGAACCCTACTGAGGTTAGACAAACAGTCCAATACCTTCAATATCTTCAGTACAAAATATTTACTGTGTTTTACTGTGAACAAGGTGACCACTGCCAGAGCACTACAAAATGACTTCTAGCCAACCCCTAGTGTCAATGCCTCGGTAAAAAACAGGGGTGCTCAACCCTGTTCCTGGAGATCTATCTTCCTGCAGATTTCAGTTGCAACCCATATCAAACAGACCTGTCTGTAATTATCAAGTGCTGTTCAGGTCATTAATAATTGGTTTAGGTGCGTTTGATCAGGGTTGTAACTGAACTGTGTAGGAAGGTAGATCTCCAAGAACAGGGTTGAGCACCCCTCCTCTACCAGAATCTGTGCTCACTGCCTAGCACCATGGAACTTGAAAAGCATTTGGCACTGAACACCAGAACTGGCAGATCTGTCACTGGTGCCCTGTGCCTTCCATAGCAGTTACCCTGATTATGTGGGCAGATGTGAAGGGATCTGTAGAAGCCTTAAAGAATGCTACGCTACCTGTAAACATTATTCAGCGTGATTGGTTTAGTGCTGGGTCAGTGGTGGTCGAGGAAGACGTAACAATAGAGAAACACACAGACGCGCTATTAAATCATAGATGCTACACTGGTGCAATAAAATGAAAACATGATATAACAACTTATATGTAACAGGCATTAAAAAGGTTAATTACTTATAACAAAATGGAGCCTAATAGCTAACATAACTGCCTCTCTTTATTTTTATTGACAAATATAAAACATTAGGCATAACTGTGTGATTTTGGCTTTATGGGCTTAACGTTAGGCCATATGCATTCAATAAAGATTATCAGAAGAAATGCATGGGAAATACAAAACAGCCATCTCTTGCACCTCTTAATCAGTTATGGCCATTATAAAAGTATAAAGTACAATTATTTTACATAATATATGAAATAAAGGCAATCAGTCGAACATGCAGAATCATCATACGTGGTTACATCAATTAATATATTACTTTATCTCTACCTGAGAACAGGTGGGTTAATAGATTTGAAAGACAGAGTTGTTAAATATACACAAGATGACTGATTTTTTACGTTTAGCAACTACAGAAAGATGAGATCCAGTGACAGATCCAGGATGGACAAGCCAAAGTTCGGTTTTCAAACATGAATTTTTCTCTGATGAGTCCACCTTCACTGTATTTACAAACGTCCAAGAGAGCTACAGTGTGGAAAACCACCCAGACTTTTCATGCCCAGGAGTGAAGCATGAGGGTGGATTAGTAATGGTTTGGGCTACAATATCATTGCAATCCCTAGACCAAATATAGATATATGTGCTAGAGGGGCACGTCTATGCTAAAGACTACCGAACCATTCTGGAAACTAGCACCCAATGGATCAAACATTGTATCCTGAGGACGGTGCCGTGTTTCAGGATGACTATAGACTCGTTTGAGATGGGCAAAATCTGCACAGAACTGATCACCGATGATCACAGTGAGATGCATGCCAGTTAGAAATAGGCTTCTTTGAGATCCGCCTCACCTGCAATGTAGAGGAGCAGGCGGCTGCATTTATAAGAGGGCTTAAAAATACATCAGAAGTGGGACACTTCCCAAATCTTGCTGTTTTGCTGCCTGTAATCATCGAAGGGGGAGTTTGCATTCATTTTTTATCGCAGATGAATAACAACATGAAAAACTACTATAGTAATTTCGGTAACACTTTACAATAAGGTTCATTAGTTAATGCATTTACTAACATGAACTAATCATGAACAACATATGTACAGCATTTATTAATCATAATTGAACATTTACTTATGCATTATTAACATCCAAGTCCATGCTTGTTAACATTAGTTAATGCACCATGAGTTAACATGAACTAACAATGAACTACTGTATTTTCATTAACTAACGTTAACTAACATGAACAAATACATGAAAAAACATGAACAAGTAGTAAATGTATTGTTCATTGTTTGTTCATGTTAGTAAATGCATTAATTAACATAAACTAATGATCCTTATTGTAAAGTGTGACCATAATTTCTAGGAAATATTATCTTGCTTTTAGGCATATTTTTCAGTATTGGGTTACATTTATAGTTGTAATACCATAGCAACTATGGAATTCAAATACTTTTTATAGTAAAAAAAATAAAAATAAAAACACTATATTGCTATAAATTACTTAATTTTTTTGTGGGAGTGGATGCAATTGAAATATCACTGTTTTTACAAAAGTGACAATAACAGAAGATAAACAGCTTGTTACTTACAAGAGTGTATTTAAAATATAAATGTATGTTCAACAGTAGTAAATGTTAAAATGAATGTCAAAACAAACAGCTTATACAACAAGAAAGATTTCAAGTAATGTAATTTGGCTATTTTATACATTTTGTAGCTAAATAGCAAGATTCTTTAGAGTAACAGGACATAACGAATTTGTGTTTGTTTGCTAGGAATGTTCCTAGAATGTGTAAAGGGATATATAGTCGAAGACAAAATTATTAGCCCTTATTAAAACTTGTAAAATTAAAAAAAACTGTATCGTATCAAATATGTAAAAGTGTTGTGCAACACTTTAAGTTTTAAAAACTAATTTCTAATAACTAATTTCTAGTACTAATAACTAGGTTAATTATGTTAAAGTAAACTTAGGAAAGCCAATGGACAACAGTTGTTTATTATGTAGACATAAAGAAATTCTTGGGGGGGGGGGGGGGGGTAATTACATTGACATGCTTATTAGGTCTAAATAAACTGATTTTACTTCAGCCAGATTAAAATAAATAACCTAATTGACTTTTTTCAAGAATCAAAACTATTAAGCTGTAGGAAATACTATGAAAATGTCCTTGGTTGGTTAAACACAACTTTTGACTTCACGTTTTGTTTACTGTGTACTACTTTCACATTTCAGATGAAACCACACAAGGATGAGGCAAAACAGTCTGATTACCTTTGTATGCATGCATAATTCTGACTTCAACTGTGTATATTTGTGTGTGTGTGTGTGTGTGTTTATGTATATATACATATATTAATTTATATATTTATATACGTGTGTGTGTGTGTGTGTGTAGAGAGAAACACACAAATATAAATTAAAAAGATTAAAAGTTAAACATTGTAAAATTAAATCTTGCCTTCACTTTCTTCATCCTCATCTTCCTCTTCATCAAGGATTTCCTGCTGCTCTTCATCATCATCATCATCTCCCTCACTGCCTGTTTCTTCTTCCTCTGATTCATCCTCACCTTCTGAGTTGTCTTCTAAATAGCAACGACATGTAGGCAAAGAAATCATGAAAAATTTTTAATCGTATATAAAATAATACAGCACCTTTGAAAATTTGTGCTTTGTTTGGCCCTCTAAATATCAATAAGGTGTTTTCTTTTTAGTGTATTGTCATATTTTATACTTTATGAGAAATAAAAGACTGATATATCAAGTATAAAGCTTCATATTGCTTTTATGTAAGTTTTATATCTATTTGACCAATGACTAAAAGGGCTAAAGATCATTCAAAATCCTCAAAATATTCGGCTTCATGAACACTTCCTTAACTAATGCAAGACCACAGACCGTCATCAGAGATGATAGACATGGCAGGTCTTTTTCCTTTTCCATGCGAGACGTTCCTGTTGATCAGCTCATCCTGGCTGTCATCCTCTTCCATGGTTATGCACTGAATTAATCTAGAAATATTTCAGCAAGTAACAACCTGTATGGCAAAAACATTTTCACGGTGAATTTGACCAACATTAAAACAGCAAATTATGAGAAGATTTTCTTTAACAACATGCAGACAATTTAAAAACAAATGTGTTGGTTTTTGGAACAAAACTTTCAAAATAACTTGGTTTATATTTATATCTAACCATGCTTAACTGCTCCGGGAAATGTCATAATTTTGGATAGTTCAATACAGGTAAGTAAATGCACATTAGTCCTCTTAATGCGGTATTTGTACAAAAGAAATGTTACTGACTTAACGCTAACAGCTAACATTTAGCCAGCTAATAAAAACACTAAAATGCCTAAAAAATCTCATCTACGCGCCTAATGGATGTTGTGAAAAAGGTGAATTGATAAAAATATAAATTATAAAAATAAAGAAGAAGAAAGGAGTGCAACAAGTGCATTCGTTTTAAGAATACTTTCACAAAGGCTACGTTAAAGCTAACACGCTAGCTGTGTTGCTTGTCCTTCTAAATTTAACTCAACGGCTATTTTTGTTGTTATATTTCATGGGTAACGTTACTCTATAAAATAGCTTTTAACGGCGGCAAATGTCTCATTTATTGAAACTCTTAGGGGAGATTATAATTTCGATCATTTGTACCTACCCTGTAAGGTTGTGTAAGACATTATTTGTGTTTTGAAATCCACACAGCGTTTGTTTGACGCAGACAGCCGGCTGGTCAAATTACGAATCCTACTATGGTAAGGAATCGCTCATGAATATTAACTAGGTAGGTGACGTTCACCCAAAAACTATTTATGATTGGCCAATAGTGAGCGTAATTAGTTTTCAGAATAAATCATACTTGGGTAAAGGTTTTGGTTCATGAACGTTGTTAATCAGCAGTTTTGCAAGAAAATGACAAGATGAGTGTTTATAAACTTTGACAATTATAGACAAACGGCGCACAATAAAACAAGATGTTTCTTTTATTCTTTTGCTTTTTGTATTTCCTCCACTAAATAAAAGTGAACGTTCCAAAGAAATGTTTGCTATAGAAATAATACAAGATGTGATACTTTACATATGTTTTTGAGGGAAAATATTAAAGTTTTGAGAATGAACTCAAAAAGCTATACTATTCTTCCTACTGTTTACCCATTTCTGTCGAAGCTCCGTAGGTAAAAATCCAGTCAAGATTCAGGATTGTTTTATTTCACCCCTAAGGAAATTTCTTATGTCTTGGACATAAGGGCACGTTGCATTATTTACTGTGCTACTACAGTACGTTACCGTGCTCTTTCTGTCGCAGTATTATTACTGTTAGAATTATCACAATCTAAATTAAACTTTATTTTATAATAAAAGTCTGGGCATAAAATAAGCTTACGTTATAAATGTAAAAAATATCTAAATGTGAGTTTTTAAATGACTTTTCGCGCCATTGCTGTCCCTCTATGTGAGTGTGTATTCCTCTGTTCCCTCCTCTCAGCATCCTTCGTACGTGCACATCCTCACTAGCTTCATGGCTTTACTACACACAGGCGAACAGGGTTGCAACCACTTTAAAGACGCGGGTGGAGCTCATTTTTTAAAACCCCACAAAAAGTAATAAACAACCGACTCCATAACAAACAGTACATCAGAGTCTACTTGCTAAAATCAAAATGCAAAGTATGATGTGTAAATGATTAGGAATATAACAGAAAAACGGAAACTGAGCGAACCCGAAATGGTTCCTTCCCAAAGTACGACGTGCAAAACCGAACGCGCCGCACCCCGCTATAAACTCTGCAAAATCCACCAAACGACATGATGGTCCTAGACAAGCCCCTCTCACTCCGTAATTCGATAGTTCCATTAAATGGGCGGGCTTTCAGTAAAGAGTTTGCCCAGCTATTGGATTACTATTATGTCTATCAAATCCTGTTTTGCATAATCAGGTCAGGTTGCAGTTGCAGGGGAGTGGGCAGGGTTGGGATAGCGCAAGTGAGCTGAACTTCTCCGTTGGTGTACTGTACTATTCTCAATTTAATACTTTATTTGAGCTATTTTTTTCTTTGTTAAAAATAGTTCTTGTTTCGCGTGGTTTGTTAGGGCATATTTAAGGAATATTGGATTTGGTCATCTTATAATTAACGGATTGATTGAGAAGTTTAGGTGAGTGTGTTTTTTCTTTGCTTCTTTTTTTACTGTCAAATATTATTAATCAGTTGATTTAAAAAATGTATATACATATATGCTTGCATAGTGTTATCTCTAAATATCTTATTATTTTCTTATTTACTTTTTTGTATAAATCGATATATTTGCTCATATTAGCCCATATATACCATATATGTATGCGTGTATATGTGAGAGAGAGACCATAGTAATTTCAGGATGAGTAAATAATTTTATTTAATGGATATTAAGACATTTTATCCATACATGATCGCTGAATATAAGTTATCACTTTATAAAGGCCTAACTATCTTAAATATTATATCGTCATCATATATTAAAATATAATCGTATTATTAAAATGTATTATAAATATTACAATAAATTATCCTTGTAGGCTACATTATATTTTGCTAATGTTCAGCTGCAGAACGGCATGTTATAAAAAATGATAATTTTTATTCACATGTTTACAGCGATATTCTGGGTTTCCACCGTTTCCTGTGCCATCGGAACTTGTGATTTCTGAAAGCAGGTAAGCCACTGACTAACGCACATTGCGCCTATTCTCCACTCCACTGTGCGTGTGACAGCGGCTAACCAGCTTTTGGATCTGCACCTGACATCAGCGCCGTGGGAATGTCCCACTGGAGACTACTTAAAGGATCAAGGCGGACACAGTCACCGGAGGGACGCTTTGGGATCCACTGTCCCTCTAACATGACTTTTTGTTCTTGGTAAAGCACTGCACTTGAAACACTAACTTAGGGCTGTGGTGCGTTCAATCCCCGCGGAGCGCATGCCCTGAATAAATGGGTGCGTTGTGTGATCGGTGTACATGTACATTTTTAAGAAAATAGCCTGCTTACAGTGTCACTAGAAATACAGTGTAAATGTGATCATGTGCAGTCTGGTTCACAAAGGATTAAACTTGTTGACTAAGTTGCTTTGCTTCGTCTTGTTTGTACAATAATGTTGTTTTTCACGAAACCAACTCTGAACTTTTGAACTTCAAGCTACGCAAATTACAGAGGCTGTCGAAGTGTCACTTTAAAAGTTTAACCTCGAATCATATATCATTGTTTTATTCGTGTGACAGATTTTTTTTTTCCCTTTAAAGTTTTTAGTGAAAATTTTGGTTAACATTTGCAATTTGTTATCGTAAATGTAACTATGTAAAATGTATTGTTTATATTATGTTTCATTATATATTTACTTGTATTATATTATGAAAAACAACACTTTTTTAGCTACAATATATTACTGGTAAAATTAACATAACAGATAATACACCAAATTAAAAACTAAACCTTATTAGAATGACTTTTTCTGCTATTTAAAAATGAATACAATTAATACATCTAAATTATAAATATAAAATCTAAATGTTGCATTATAGTAAATCAAAGTAATAAAATGAAAAGAAAAAATGCAAATGTTTCGGAATAAAATCTGTTTTTATTAGGTCAAGTTGGAAGGTTTGTGGTAAGCTTTTAAAAAAAATGGTAAAAAAAATCTTATATTTTACTTTTTTAAATGTGGTCAAAAATATGTTAAGGAAATACAGTCTATCAAAAAGAATCAATATGGTGTCTTTTTGTATTGCCTGTTAATTCCTCTGGCCCACATTTAATGAAACTCATAATGGATTAGAAATGTGATTAGATTGAACCTCATTTGAACCTGTCTTTTATAAATAATCCCTTTGGTAAAATAAAAAGAAAAAAGGCATTGATAAAAATTCATGACCATATAGCCACACCTAATGACAACCATATGTGGATTTGAGGCTTATCTCAGCCATGTCAGACAGTTCCTTGATCTTCTTCATTTAATCTACATTTAAATGGTAAACCATAGTAGCAAAACTATCAATCCAATAGAGAATATCTCAGACAAACAAGTTCTTATTAGCTAATTGTCTAAATCCCAGTCCTTATGATGCTTTAAAAAAAGTTTATACTTAGCACACACACACGCGCACACACACACAGATATATATATATTAGAATTTATATATATATATATAGAATATATATATATATATATATATATATACAGCTGAAGTTGGAATTATTGCCCAGTTTTTTTCCCCAATTTCTGTAATAAATGGTTTATTTTATCTTTGCCATGATGACAGTAAATGATAGTTGACTAAATATTTTTTTCAATCCTATACAGCTTAAAGTGACATTTAAAGGCTTAACTAAGTTAATTGGGTTAATTATGCATGTTAGGGTAATTTGGCAAGTTATTGTATAATGATGGTTTGTTCTGTAGACTATCAATAAAATATATAGCTTAAAGGGGCTAATAATTTTGACCTTTAAATGTTTTTTTAAAAAAATGTAAAAAACACCTTTATTCAAGCCGAAATAAAACAAATAAGACTTTCTTCAGAAATACTGATTTCATACAGTGAAAATCTTTTCTCTGTTAGGGAATATTTTTAAAAGAAAGAAAAATCAAAAGGGACTATAATTCTGACTTCTACTGTATATCTCTTAGTTAAAATGTTCTTTGAAAAACCTTGTGCAATTCAAAAAAGACATTTTAATGTTTATTTAAAATTGTGTGAAAATAGCAGTGCTTTAAAAAGTGAATAAAGTTAATTTGTTTTAAAATAGCTTCTATTACTATATGTGGAAACTTTAAACATTCAATCCTAACTTAATTTTTCTTTGGCTCACTTAGTGTGTTTATAGGTATTTTGTGTAAGAAAGTATTATATTTATTTTGATGTATAAAAACAGATTTACGGTATTGGTAAATGATAAGCCAATGCCAATGTATGAAAAACACCCGCATAGCATTACTTTTTTGCGCCACCGCATGGTTCATAGTCTTTACAGCTATTGAAGTGGGGCTTGAATTTTGCATGTTTAGGTCTTCTTTTTAGATGAGCATCTTCTAATGTGCTGCTTTTCTTAATGTTTTTCTTTCTCCCATCAACTTTTTACATAAAACATATTTTGTTCTTTTGAACAATGTTTGTAACAACCTATATTTTCATAATTCAAAAAGAAATTTATTTTATAACAATGTATGACACATTGCAGACCTTATAAAGGACCATTAATGACACCATTTGGTTTTGTTTTGCTTTCACAGAACAAATGAGATCTCTCAATAACACAAAACAGAACAAAAACCAAACAATAAATAACGGTTGTTTTAATATTACCCTGCAGTTGCAATGCACAAATAGCCCTAATAACATTGTTCAAGGGGTTGCTGATGTACTGAGCACAACTGTATGTGGGTCGAAAACTTTTAGTGTCTGATTAAAAAAAAATTAAAACAACACCAAAGTGGTTACAAACAAAAACAAATAAAGTCTTTTCTTTTAATGCTTTAATTATTTTTTTGTGTGAAAATAAAATGTCTGAAAATGGTACACATATTTTGACTTTCACTTAATAAAGAACAAGCAATCAAACTACATTTTATTGCATTTTAAACTTTATAAAACATACAGATAAAACCTATGGTTTTAAGAATAGTGGGAAAATATAAAGATTTGAAATTAAAGTTACTATGCACTTAGGGACTTCTCTGTCATCCTTTAATAGTCTTTTAATATAGCATTTAATGATTCTTTTCCTGACTGACTATGCTTTCTTGGTATATAAACTACAGAGAACTAGCTTTCTTTAACAACTTTCTTTTGCTTTAAATGTTTGAACACTTTTTATTTTTGAAGAATTTTTAGTTTTGCGTACATGGCTGAAATAAAATGAATTTGTACTTTCCAAGATTTAATTGGTTTCATCACCATTTGACTTTTTATTACTAACACATGCAATGTTCCACTCTTAACAAGGAAAAGGAAAAAAAACAATAAAAATATCTTTAATGTCAGTAAAAAATGTCTGTTATTTTTTTATTCTATTGCTTATGTTCTATACTTTTTACAGTTATATAAAAATTGCTTCAAATATATTTTGCATTCTTTTTTTTCTGAAATGAAAAAACAATTTTAGAAAAATTAGCTTTATTTAAGTTCCATGTAACATCTGCACTTTGTGAATAAGGAATAGAAAGCTCAAATCATCTAACATTGGCACATTGCACAGCTTTTAAATGATTTTAATACATAAACAAACGTAAAACATCTCGGGATAAAATTAGGTCATATTTAGCAGTAAATACAACTTTTGAAATGTACCGAAAAGTTATTTTGATTCTCAAAGATCGCTATATGTATCTCTCTCTCTGTCTCTCTCTCTCTCGCACAGACAACAAACACACTCAAACACACACACACACACACACACACACACACACACACACACACACATATATATATATATATATATATATATATATATATATATATATATATATATATATATATATATATATATATATATATAGGTTGTGCTAAAACATATAACACATAAATTGTTATACTGATAATAGTTAAGACAGCAAGGTTGAATATACCCAGAAAGTCATTATAAATCCTTTGCCCTGAGCTTCAGATTCATTACCGCCAAGACGTTTCCCTGGATGTCAAGACTGCAAAACACATAGAAAAGTATTGAGTGAAACTAGCAACTATAGGGTATAGTGAGCATTATAGGCAAAAAAAAAAAAAAAATCCATGTAGTCCATGCAGATCTGCAGTTGTTTTAAGCACATTTAGGCCGCCGAGAGAGAAAGAAAACATCAAACCCAGAAAAAAGTTCAAACTTAACACTCTATTGTCTTTTTACCCAGAGTTCTAACAGTCGCTTAAACAGCCAGCAACATTGCTTCAATCATTTTAAGTATGTAATACAGCATAAGGCACTGCTAATGTTTAGAATAAAGAATTCTACATAATTTGCTCTTTGGAAATAGCTAAATGTTCCAGATAGCATTTGCAGATTTGCTTTGAGAATGTCATAAAAGTAGCAGATACAGACCAGAAAAACAACTGATTAAATCATGGCAACTTAGTGTTAAAACATTTACTGAAATATAATTTGATTCTTGTCATTTACATGTTGCCTACAAAGAAATGACAACATCATTGCCATCATTATATTCTCAGAATACTTAGGTAGTTACTGGAATAGCTAAGAAAGCTTTAAAACAGAAAACAAATGAAAGTACATTTTTGTCATAGTTTACTCACTAACATTGTGTTCAAACACACTTGACATTCTTTATAGTATAAAACACAAAGGAGATATTAGTAGAATGTCCACACTGCTGCTTTTTTTCTAAACCGTAGTATTCAGAAACCAGATTCAATAAACAATTAAAAACAAAATGATTGTTAATTGATATTTAGTTAAGAACATTCTTAAGATTTATTAGGGTGTCTAAATATGCCAAAGTCAGTGCAAACTAAATTTTTTGTTAATAAAATTGCTGCAAATAACATGCATGGGAAAAGAGATAATTTAAGAATTGTTTGAGAAAGACCTGGAGGTGGAATTTGAAGAGGGTGAATTGGAGGCAGTAGTTTCTAGTATAGGGTGTCCTGTGAAAGATGCTAGAAGTAAACTCACATAACAAGATAATTAATTGATATTACTGGACTCCAGTAAGACTGCATAGGATAGGATTGATGAAAAATAACCACTGTTGGACATGTGGTCATTCTGTGGGCACCTTTTTACAAAGGTTGCAATTGTGATAGGATACACATTAATATACACTGCTGTAAGAATATCTGTTTTGTTAATGTACAAAATAAACCGGATTTAATGTCCACAAATCGAATAGAATGCTTCGATTTTATTAATTTTAGTGATATTTGGCTGTGGTGATGAATTACAGCAATTTGACTGTCTTTTTTACAAACATGCACTGCTTTAAAAATGTCTTAAACTTGTAAAACTCATTCTTGAGGTGCATCTGCTCACAGAGAGATAAACAGATCTTTTAATCCCAGTTGCTTTGTGCAAGTCCTATCTTGTGGATATGATTATACACATTACTATGAAGACATGTTAATATGCAGCAGTCAATTAATTGGGTGAGCTGGGAAAACTGCTCTCTTACATCAGAATTGCAAGGATTTGGAACCTATTTTAACGTCAGCGATTGGAATTAACCAACAAGCAAGATAAGCGGCTGCTTAGGGCCCCAGGAAATCTGAGGGCCTCCAAATAAATACCTAGAAGTATAAATTATCATTTAACATAATTTTTTATTATATTTTTGTATGACGAGTGTCACAGCGAAATGTGGTGCAAGGCGCAATGCAACTGTTGTTTGTTAGTTTAAGGTTGGCGCAAGAGTCGTTTTGCACCACGTTTTGCACCACGTTTTGCACCACGTCATACACCACGCTGTTTAAATAGCAAATGCATTTGCGCTCATATGTGCGCCTATAGGCGTTCTGATTAAAAAAGGGAAGTGTTTTGAGGTGCATTGCTGGTGCGTTGCTGTTTTGAGAAACTATAATAGACTGTTCTATAGACCAGAATAAAGCCGGTCTAAAGTCCAGTGCAGAGCGCATTAGTTGTGCGCCTCGCTTACACATTGCTTAATACAGACAGGATGTACAGCAATATGCAAATATCTTTACAAATGAAAAAGAATAAAAATATTAAGTATGTAGGCTATATAGGATATAATAAGGATATATATATAGGATATAAATATAAAGGATTAAAATATTACAAAACATATTATTTTCTAGCTTACATAAATATAAAAACCATGCATTCATGCCATCTTCATTTTAGGGGCTTTTTTCAGTTTATTTATGATAATTTGCTTTTGTATAATTTTATTATTATTATTATTAGCAGTATTTTTTTATTATATCCATATTTATATTTGTTTTATTAAAACTTAGATTAAAACTTACTTATTAAGACTTAGATTTGTCCACCTGTCAGATTTTAGACCATATGGGACATAGCATATGTATTTGGATATAACTCAGTTTTTTGAACACACTTTGCTTTTATTGTTCATATATTTGTTTGCTTGAAATTTGAACTGAATTTAGAGATAGTTTTGAAACAAATCTTTGTGCTTAACAAACTAAATTAATCATTTATAGGCTAACGGATGTCTGTGCATGCAAGAAGTTTCTCTATCCATGAGAGTGAAAGTGAAAGTACAGAATTAAGAGGCTCATCTCTCACTCTCGCGCTGTAGATGCTCTGTTTAACTGTTTTCTTGCTAGTGAAAAGCTTAGTTTTTCCACTTACAAAGGTCGTCATGTAAAAAGCAAATGTGCTACGGTGCGACGGAACTGACTCTTAAAGGGAATGGGAGATGAGACTCTAATTGGTTTATTCTCAAAACGGAATAGAACTCCTAGAACTCATTAAGAAAATAAGCGACCATGCGACACGGCGCAAAGCAGATTTTTCCATCCTTATGTTAGCAAAAGTGGATTCTGACATGCCCTTATTGCTTTTGCGCCCTGCGCTTTGCTCATGGATCATCAAAATAGAGCCCTTAATGTTTATTACATCTAGGCAAATGTATCTTCCACCCTCAACCATGGAGAAGTCCAGCAGTAAAATTAAATTAAGACTTTTAAAAAACTAAATAGTTTATATGTAATATTTAGTTGTGAATTCATTTTTAGAAAACAAGTCATTTAAAACGTTTTACAAGATGCTTTCCATGTTGTTTTTATTATTATTATTATTATTATTTTGCATTAAGAAAAAAATTACAAAAAGCAGAGTGATATAAGAAAAAAAAACTGCAAAATGAATCAATTAAAAATAAATTAAAGTACAAAAGGTGCATTTTAGAACTTTTGGGTCTCATTGCTGGATACGCTTAGGGCCCCCAAATCATTAAATCCGCCCCTGACTATACCTGCACACAGTTCTGTCTAAAAAGCTTCCAAAAGTTGATTTTTATCTTAGGTGCCCTTTAAAATATTTATTCAGCTAGTATGACAATTCTTCTGTTTTTTCTAACATCTCACCATAGACTTTTGTGAGAAACAGATGACAGTTGAAGCTATTAACTGATAATCTAACTTTCAAATTAACTTTGCACTTACTGATATTCTAACTTGTCCCATACAACATGCACGTGCAATAATTGTGAAAACCCAAATGACAAGTTTAAATAGCGTGTAAGCCAAAGTGGAGGGGAAGATTAGCAAGTAATAATGAGTTTAGCATGGGGCTGTTTTGAACATTTGTTTTTTTAAGTGTGACGTCACACAAAGCGGCTACCAGGTCCAATCGTTCTATCAAACTGTTCGTGGAGGCTTAACAAATAGTAATAATAAATGTTTACAAAGCCTTGTAATAACTTCAAAAATAACAATATCCATGCTTAATATCAGATGGCCAGAAAGTGATTTATTTTTAAATATTGTTAAAATATTGGTGTCTGTGGTGCAGCATATGCAGAGATTGTAGTGTGCACCATGATTTTATATAAAATTCACTTTAATGTGTGATATGACTAAAAAGTGGTCATAAACAAATATATTCTCAATCCAAATGAGTATAGTGAGTATAATCCGGAAACAGTATTTCATACGTCATGAACTGCAAGATGTCAGCTCAACACAAATTCTGAAAAATGTGTGTCTGGTTAGAAAAGAGCAGCGTGAAGATTCTTAACAAATCTTTTATTATGTTTCCTGTTTGAAGTGTCCATGTAGGTATATATTTGTTCTGCACATTAAAGTGACAAAAATTTCAATTATATATACAGTTGAAGTCATAATTATTAGCCCCCCTTTAAATTTTTTTTCTTTTTGAAATATTTCCCAAATGATGTTTAACAGAGCAAGGAATTTTTCACAGTATGACTGATAATATGTTTTCTTCTGGAGAAAGTCTTATTTGTTTCGGCTAGAATAACAGCTGTTTTAATTTTTTGAAAACATTTTAAGGTCAAAATTATTAGCCCCTTTAAGCTATATTTTTTAGTCTACAGAACAAACTATCAATATAAAATAACTTGCCTAATTACCCTAACCTGCCTAGTTAACTTAATCAACCTAACCTAATCAAGCCTAAATGTTAATTTAGGCTGTATAGAAGTGTCTAGAAAATATATAATAAATTATTATTTACTGTAATCATAGCAGAGATAAAATAACTTATTTCTAATACCTGATTTATTAAAACTATTATGTTTAGACATTTCTCCCCATTAGACATAAATTGAGAAAAAAATAATCAGGGGTGCTAGTGCAGGGGCTAATAATTCTGACTTCAACTATATATATATATATATAGGTTTAAGGCATGGAATTGACCTTTTAGAGAAAAATGTTTACCTTTTGAAAAGGTATTGCCCCAGTGACAACTCCTTTTTCTCTGAGAGTTTATGTTAGGGGAACTAACCCCAAATTGCATACAAACACACATGCATGAATGCACACACCCAGCTCCACATAAATCAGCAAAATGTCTGGTAAGACAGCAAACATCACTAAAAAGACAGTAGAATTCTAAGGTAAAAAAGTTATTCTCTGCACATTTAAGACTTTTCTTACTTGATACCTGACGTCCACCATTACTATTTTAGTGCCATACCTGTCAAAGATATTGTCAGCAAACAAAGCTGGGCATACACTGTGCAATTTTGGGTCTGTTTTCGAGCCAAACTCTGAATTATTCATTGAAACGGGCAGAATTTGACTTTGCTATGAATGTTTTTGTGTTGTGTTTATGCAGTTTACAGGGGCAACAGAGAGGTGATCAGATGGTTTTCTGACATTAGAACAAATAGAATCACATTGTTGAATCAGAGCTACAAAACAATTGAGTTGAGCTCAGTGTTTGTGTCTTCACTGCACAAGCTCGAAAAACCGAAACAGACACACTTTTCTTAGTTCACGGGGCTGCACTGTTGCTATATTAATTAATGAATTCCAGAATACGCAAAAACAATTAAAAGTGTATGATAATCTGTTCATATATTGGTAAGATAAACGTCTTAAAAATATATATATATATAATTTGTTGTGGTTTTTTATTTCATCCTTTCCACTGAACTTTTCATTCATTTCCATTGGGTAGCATAAATACACCATATACCAGTTAACGCAGAACCATTAAACAAACAAAAAAAAACAATTAATAAAAAGCAACGGCAGAGCAATCAGGCCATATTCTTTGAGCACATTAATTGCGAGCTTTGCCTTTACATTGGATACAATGCCATGCTGAAATTGCAAATAAGTAACACAATGCATGCCTGGCCTAAGAGGCATTATAAATATTAAGTTTCAGTGGTAAAAGGAACAATGTAGTCTCCAGACTACCTTCTTCTGAGCCTTTTCTTTTAACATTTAAATTTTTTTTTTTACAGAGATGTTAGTCCTGCGCTATGTTGAGCTGTTTGTAGCTCTGCCCTATTTTAAAAAAAGTGCTGGGAGCACAATCTAACTTCAATTTAAAGCAACAGTCACCAAAGCACAATATGGATTACAGCATAAAATGTGCAGTTTCAAGGAGTTATGGACAATTGTTTGTAGAGTATTTTGGGCTGAATCTTCACATACAAACTCGGATACTTACAGCAGGGAAAATTTCTCATTTCGTCATTTTTTCCAGGGAATAATATTTCTAAAGGAGCTGTTGACATGGAACTGAACCAGATTTTGATAAAAACCCAGACCCAAACATAAAAATAAAACAAAACAAAACAACTAAAAAAATGTGTTATGTGTAATAACAATGGAATGACACAAGGATAAACTACTGAAATAATGAATGATGAGATTTTTTTCAAAGACTTCAACAAAGTGTAAAAATCTTGATGGTTCTATTGGTCTTGTCTATCAAATCTGATCTTTAACTGGTATTTAATCTAATGGACTGAAGTCTGGTGATTGGCTGAGCCATTCTACAGGTTGATTTCTTCTCTGAAACCACTTGAGAGTCTATTGTAGATGTTGGACTGAAGCAGCAAATATTCATTTACAATCACAAAGGGCAGAGGGTTGCTGAATAACTATTGAGACATTTCAGATGCTATATGGGCTTTCATGTCCTTTCTACACCTCCCTTTCTTCATGTGTTCAATATTTTTTTCCTGTGTCATTTCATTTTACTACACGTAACTTCATTTGTAAACTAATTACATTTGTTTTTTTATAGATTTCTTTGGTTGCTATCGACATCCGTTGAAAAATTTAGTACCTTTTAAAATTTGTTTTCTCAGAAAAATGGAATGAAATGCTCATTAGCTGAAAGCTTCATGAACTGAGAAGTGTGTCAGATAACAAGTAAACAAAGTGTGCAGAGAATCGGGTCCCTAGGTGTGGAGTTGAGAACTAGTCAAATAACATCTTTATAAGTTATAAATATCTTGACAACACTTTAACAAATGTTTTACTAAATTATCAAGATGCAATCTGAAGCCGGCATAAAGTTTTTTGTTTTAAGGACACATGTTGTGTTAACACTTCTTTATGAAAGGCACAACATACTGACTTGGTAAGAATGTAATATGTAACATCCATATTTACAGACTCAAACAGCTTAACTTAAACATACTATTTGAACATACTGTATGCTGCATATTTATAGCACAAATATATCGTGACTGAAAAGGTTTGCGTTTTGAACTAAATGGTTTTGTTGTGAAAATGTGCTGATGTGGTGCCTTTCAGCTAAAGTGCTACAATAAGAAATCATGTTGATCAAAAGAGAGTGGTTAAAAAGAGCCACCATGCAGACACCTTCACCCCAAAAAAACTGTCACCAATTGGCAGGTTTGGAAACAAGGCAGGCTGGGAAGCAGCAGCAGGCATCTGCAAAGCAATCTGTCACACATACACACCCTCAGGATTCAGGCTAGATACCAGGGGGTGCTGCAGGTTGCGTGGGTGACCAAGGAATTGTTTGGCAGTGGGACGCAGGGTCAAATCTGTGGGGGGGAGGGGAATGGGACAAGACATATTACACAAACATTCATTCATTCATTCATTTTCCTTTGACTTAGTCCTTTAATTATCAGGGGTCGCCACAGTGGAATGAACCACCAACTATTCCAGCATATGTTTTACGCTGCAGATGCACTTCCAGCTGCAACCCAGTATTGGGAAACACCCATACACTCTTTTATTTTTAACTTATAAACACATACACTATGGCCAATTTAGTTTATCCAATTCACCTATAGCACGTCTCTGAAATGTGGCGGGAAACCAGAGCACCCGTAGAAAACTCATGTGAGCACAATATATTTATATACAGTTAAACTCAGAATTATTAGACCCCCTGTTTATTTTTTCCCAATTTCTGTTTAATGGAAAGAAAATTTTTTCAACACAATTTTAAACATACTAGTTTTAATAAATCTGACAGTAAATAATATTTTACTAGATATTTTTCAAGACACTTCTATACAGCTTAAAGTAACATGCAAAGGCTTAACTAGGTTAATTAGGTTAACTAGGCAGGTTAGGGAATTAGGCAAGTTATTGTATAATGGTGGTTTGTTTTATAGACTATCGAAAAAAATAGCTTAAAGGGGCTAATAATTTTGTCCTTAAAATGTTTTTTTTTTTTTTTAATAATAACTGCTTTTGTTCTAGCTGAAATAAAACAAATAAGACTTTGTCTAGAAGAAAAAATATTCACAAACACACACACACACACACACACACACACACACACACACACACACACACACACACACACACACACACACACACACACACACACACACACACACAGTTTAACCATAAAAAGGCACATAACCATTTTAAAAAAGTCAGATGTTAATGGGACTAAACTTTTTCTCTTTTAGGTATAGGATTATCAAATTTGTTTCTGTTTTTTTTTTTTTTTTTTGAGAAATTGTTATAACTTTTCTTGAAAGTCAAGTTTACATATAATAAGATTTTATGCCTCTAAAAAAGCTCAGTTGATGGTGTTAAGATTTTGGAAGTTTTTGATTGGGTAATTGACAACATTTGAGTTAACTGAAGGCACAACTGTAGAATAGTATTTAAGGAAAACCTTCCTTTTGTGACAACATGGGAAAATCAACAAGCCAGAATCAACAAAAAGCCAGATTACAATTTGCAAAATAACACTGGGAAAAGTGTTTTCTGTGGTTTGATGGAACTAAGATTGAATTTTTTGGCCATAATGACCAGTGTTACATTTGGAGGACAAAGGGAAAAGCTTATAGGCCTATAGAAGCACCATTCTGTGAAGTATGGGCTGCAGCAGCATCATTTTGTCAGGCTGTTTTGCTGCCAGAGGAACTGGTCCACTTCACAGCATAGATGGCATCATGAAGAAAGAACATTAAGTAGAAATACTAAAGCAACATCTCAAGACATCAGCAAGGAAATTAAAACTTGACCACAAATGGATCTTCCAAACAGACAATGACGCTAAGCATACTGCCAAATTTGTTAAAATTTGCTTTAAGAACAACAGATTGAATGTTTTGGAGTGGCCATCCGAAAGCCCTGATCTCAATCCTATAGAAATGGCAACAAATTTGACTCAGTTAAACACATTTCTGTCAGGAGAAATGAGCCAAAATTCCTTCAAACTATTGTGAGAAGCTTGTAGAAAGATATCCAAAATATTTGACTAAAGTTATACAGTTTAAAAGCTAAGCTAAAAAAAAATGAGAAAATAACAAGAAAATGTATGTAACCTTTTAAATGGAAATTAATAAAAAAATTCTCAAAAAGATGTTCTCATTATTCTGATATTTAGCAAATGTAAATCATTTATGTAATCCTAAAGGACCTAAAATAGTAAACGTTTAGTATGATTTACCATCAGCCATTTAAAAAAAAAAATGGTTATGTTCCTTTTTAAGAGTGTATGTAAACTTCTGGTTTCATCTATCTATCTATCTATCTATCTATCTATCTATCTATCTATCTATCTATCTATCTATCTATCTATCTATCTATCTATCTATCTATCTATCTATCTTTCTATCTATCTATCTATCTATCTATCTATCTATCTATATATATATATATATATATATATATATATATATATATATATATATATATATAATGTATTTTTTTATTGTTAATTGTTTTTTATTGTTTATTGAATCTTTGTTATTTTTATTTCTTAAACTAGTTATTTAGTATGTTTCTTCTATTCTTGTTTATGTATCATTTTGAAATACAATTTTGTATGAAATGCTCTAAAAATAAACTCGCTTGCTTTATTAGAATAGAGACAAATTATCATTGCATTCTGATTCAAAATAAAATCACCAACGATGCAATATATGCAATCAGTGTCATGGCTGAGGAACGTAATGGTTTAATTTTCAGGCTTATATATAAGACTATTTGAAAATCTAGTTTACATTTTTAGTTTGCTTCGGCTACATGTAGGGGGTAACTATACGGATTATGTGATATTATATAATATACAAAGTAAAGAAAAAAAAAAGTTGTGCTTCACTGTGCATGTCAATAGATAGACTTTAGTAGTTACATTGTTTCACCACTGGATGGTGACAAGAAACTGTCATTTATAAATGAGCCAGTAGACTTTTTTTTTTTTTTTTTTTTAGAAATGTTCAACTTAATTTGTTAGTTTAAATTCAGCCCAAAAAATTGTTTGCAACCACTTGACTTAGAAAAATTTTGTAAATCCAAGGAATCATCTTTGAATCTTTCTTTTTCAGTGTGTGGTATTCAGAGTAAATTGTGCATATTTATCAGTATAGCAAATGCAATCATTTGATTATTTCAAGTATACAAAAGCTGTGCGTACTATATATCAATTCAAACAAAGCAAATTTGTTGACAGTGTACACAATATATTGTCTAGTATGCAAAAATGTAATTCTTACTTTAGTTCTTTTTTTGGCTATATTAGATTTAGGGTGCTTTCACACTTGGTTCATTTGCCTGGACCGTACCCAAGTTCGATTGTCTCCCCTTGCCACCTCCTCGGTTGGTTTGTGTTCACGCTGTCTGTTTCCTTCTAAACCCTGGTACGCTTGCGTCATTGAGCTGCTGTTTTGTTTACGGCCGTTGCTAGGTGACGGCCACGCAAGCAATCGCCGAAATGGAAAGACTTCCGCACATCGCGGTCATTCTGCTTTTACTGGAAGCTTTTGGACATACAGAAAGCAACTTGCGTCCATCTGCCGCAAAAATATTATGCACATTCAGAACATCTCACAGCGTCTGCAGAAGCTCTTTTTGGAGGAGACAAGCAGACATCACTGTGTTTGCCCTGGCTCAGTCCCGCGCGTGTCACCAAGGTAACGTTACGAACTAGACACACACACACACGAACAAACGAACTTTATGAAAACGATAGTTTGTTGTACAGTTGACAGTTCACTATAGTTCACTTCCGTCATTTGGTACGATTGCATTCGCATCTGAAGTGAACCGTACCAGAGTTCACATGAACCGTACCCCAGACCACCTCTTTCAGGCAGACTCGGGTACGGTTCACGGTTCCGCACCCGGGTTCAGAAGATGCATTCACACTAGCTAAACGTACCGTACTATGACGTCAAACGAACTCGGGTGCGGACCAAAGTGCTAGTGTAAAAAGCACCCTTAAGCCTGATTTATACTTCTGCGTCAGGTGACCGGCGTAACCCACGGCGCATGTAACGCGCGTGGCTGTGCATTTATACTTCTGCGCGCTGTCTCTGTCGGTCGGCATTAACACTTCCGAAACGCTAGTTGGCAGTGAGGTGTAAATGTTCCTCTGTGTCGAGTTTCTTCGCTGCTTTATTGCTTTTCCTGAACACTTCCGGGATGTACAAGTGGCTCAAACTCGCTCATTTTGAGGCAAGAACCGGCAGACGTGCAACAACTTTAACTATGAGTTAAACACAAAACAAAACTTTCCATCCGGAGCTCCTTCACGGTACTCTACACTAGTAAACAATTGCTCGCGCCATTCACGCGGCTCTCGGTCCCGCCCAGACTCGTCAGCGCTACCAAGCCGACCAATCACAGAGCTTACGCTACGGGTCGTTGCGACGTGTAGTTACATTTTTTGAGAGGTGCACGTCAGTGACGGCGACGGCCACGGCGAAGGGCTATGCGTCAGCGCCGTAGCATACGCCGGTGTTTGACACAGAAGTATAAATCAGCCTTTAGTCTACATCTACAGATTTTTAGTGAATGGAGATTATACCATTGTCTTTGTGCTTGTCTTGCTGTTGAGTTTGGTTCAGTTCTTCTGGATGTTCACAGAGGTCTGTGCGAGGCTGAGTTTGGGTAGGCGGGGCTCCGGCCTGCTTGATAAATTGTTGTAAATTACACTGTCTCAGTTCCTTATTCAGCTCTTCAATTTCCTCCTGCTTAGCCTACACAAAGAGAGAACAGACAACCACAAACAGCCAACTTACTAGAATAAAATACATTTAAAATGATGGTGAACAAGGGTTTTTACAATGCATTTGGTACATTTTTCAATGCAGCAATAATCTGCTTTTAATAGCTGTGCAACAACTATCCTAAACTACAAGATATGTTTTAGAGTTTGTTGTATTTAATTACTTTGTTTTCAGCAGTAATGCCTTTATTTATTAATACAGTTAATCCCTCCCTTCAAACATTTCATTTTTATATTCCTTTTCATGTAAAAAATAAAATAAAATAAATAAATAAATAAAAACAAAGTCTTCTATTTTACTTTACATCTTACTTGTAATTCTGCTGGCAATCACAAGGGAGCACTATGTTACAACAGCAACATAAGCCAATCGGTAACAATTTACTTAAAGGGGTGTTCATAAGACTTTTTGATGATGACAAGTGATATCTTGTGCATGTTTATAAAAACTTTTAATTGAGTATAATTTTGTCAAATTCTGATCATTAGGTGTCATTTGCTCAGTTATGTCATTTTAAATGCAAAGATGACATTGAGATGTATTTGTTATGATAACTTGACTTTTAAAAGACATTTGAAATTCTCTATTCTCTTACCTTTAAATATTCATGACACAATATTTAATATAAAGGCCTCCTGATAATCATGTTTATCATGATTATGCCACGATTTCAAAGGTTTCAAGACAATCTTATGGACAACTAAGGTAGAATCTTGTGTGCCCTGCTGCTATGTAGACAATTATCTCAAGATTTGTCCTCTGTGAGCATGTATGACATCGTTTGGCTGAAAGTTAAATGTATTACCAACCCAAAATCAAACAGACAATTCAAAAGTAACCACAATAAATCAATCAGTAGACGGATGCTTTTTGAAGTAAATGATTGCAATTCACCTAGAGTGTTGGTAAAGGTGGAATATCAACAAGACTTCAGAAAACAGATTCTAATAATCAAAAAAGAACAGACTCTGAGATTCTGATGTTGTAAAATTTTTTTTAGATTCATTCGCTTGATTTTTTTTTAAGAGGGTGCAGTATAAGAAAATAAGTGACCTTCTTGCTGTGAGGTGACAGCACTACCCACTGCACCACCATGCAGCCCCAATAATAACGTTATAAAAATGCAAATTGTCATAAATAAACTGAAACATTTATGTAGAAAATAATATTTTTTGTGACATGTTAATCCTTAAATTCTTCTTTTAGATGTAAAGATATTTGTGTATTGCTGTAAATTGTGTGAGTATTAAGCAATGTGTAAGCATTTGGACCTGCATAGGCAAATAACTAATTTGCATTAGACCAGCTTTTAGTTGCAGTCTATTGCAGTTCCTCAAAAATGCGAAGCGCCAATAATGCGCCGTAACAGTTTAACATGCTCCTTTTTAGACCAGCATGCCCATGAGTCCACAGAGAGGTGTAATTGGAATTGCTATTTAAACAACATGACAGAAAATGTAAAAATTAGGTTTATTTTGGTCTGAAGATAGCAACAATTTGCGCCATACTTGTATTGTGCCGGTTGTATGATAGTGCCCTAAGTTTTTGCTTTGTCACAGGAATTCTGAAATGCTGTTATAAAACTGAGGTAATGCATGTTTAGGTGCAATATAAATTTCATGCATTCCTAGCAGGTAAAAAAAACTCATTAAATAGTGGTACACTTTTATTATCACAAGTCATAAAATTTACAAGAAAATAAATAAATGTAAGAAGGACCAAATGAAAAAACATTTGTATTTATTAAATATTTCAAGAAGTGAAGGGGTTTCCTCTGTTCACTTTTGATTTTTCCGTTAATTGCCAATACAACTCCAACAAGGGGACCATGATACCGTTCAACATTTGCAGTCAACCCCTACAAGCTTCTCTCTTGAGCCAGGCCCTCTCTACTTACCTTTAACAAAGTCTCAGCCCTCCCCAAAGTCTTCTCAAGCTCTTTAAGTTCTGCCTCCATCTCCTCCCCCTGCTTTTGTCGACTTTGAAGATCTGCCTTGACTACCTCTAAAGAGTCTTTTGAATCGGACTGAACAGGTAAAATGTCAACTCGTAGCATTTCTATCTGAATGTCCTTCTCCAGTTGTATGGCACGATTGTTGAATTCATGCAACTTTTGCCCACAGTCATCCAGTTTAGCATGCAGCTCTCCCACCCGCCGCTTCATCCCACGTTCCCTCTCTGTCTCTAACCTTAGTTCCTCCTGCCAAAACTCCTCATCCACCAACTCTTGCTGATTCTTCCACATCATCTTTTCCAAAGCTTCCATCTCTGCCTGCACCGATGTCTCCTTAGCTGATGACTTTTCCCAAGTTTCACATTCCTTGTCTACAGCCACCAGCTGGGTCTCAAGGGAATGAAGCTGCTCCTGCTGCAGAAGAACATGACTGTACACCTCCTCTTTAGATGGCCCTGGAAGATATGCTACATGTGGAACAGGTGAAGCCCTCTGTTCAAAAGAGGGTGTTTTATTTGAATCCTTAGGTTTTGAACGAGGAGAACTGGAAGGACCCAAGTTAAAAGTGAAAGATTTCCTAGGTAAACCCTGCTTGGACTCTGATATTGAAGGCTTGGAGTGAGGGAGGGTTTGGCTGTGCAGACTTTGGTCTTCACTGCTGCTTGGACCAGTTCGCCGCAAGAAGAACTGCACCTCACTGCCATGTTGGCCCAGTTTGGCCAGGGACTCCAGCGGGCACTCATTGGCTAGTAGTTGGCGCTCAGTGTCTCTTAGTTTCTGAATGAGAACATAACGACCAGTCTGACCTGTAGAAAGAACATGGGTAGTTAGAAAAAGATGGTTACCTACCTACTCTTCAGTATTCTGTGGACCACTAGTTTTTGGGCTGCTAACTAAATAACCATATGAAACCTCACATACTGCCCTGGTAAGTCACTGCCCTGTAGAGTTAAACTCAAATCTTGATCTTGAACTGAAGACTCTGATCAGCTAACTCATAGGTTTTAGATCAGAATCAAAGCTAGGATGTGTAAGCTAGTGTGCCTCAGGATTTGAGGAAGCCTGCTCTAACCTCAGTTATCAAAGGGACTTACCAATGGCTTGGGCAAGTGCAATGACAACATCCTGGCATGATGTATCTTCTGACAGGCCGCAAACCACTCTGACAACTCCATCCACCCAAACTTTCAGCTCCATCAGAGGCACCAAGCACAGATCAGAAATACATAATAAAGTCTGGATTCTGAAATGACAAAATTATGACAATGAAGGCTTACTGCATTGCGTTAAAGAATTACTGCAATGTGTTTAATGGGATGTTTGTCGTTTTTTAAAATAGTGATTTTGGTGAAGGTCTGATTGATCAAAATTTCGAAAATGCAGGACAAGGCACAAAATGTATATCTATGCATAGCAAGGGCAAAGAAGGGGACGGGGGTTTAATTAGGCCCCCACCAATATCAAAATCAAATTTACGCCCTACATGTAATGAACATATCAATACACACAAAACCCTCTAGTCTCCCCAAATGTCTAAAACAGATTCATAAAGTAAAATAAGCTCATTTCTACATTAGCTGTTTCTACCCGACATATGAAATCATAATTAAACATCATGTCAAGTGGGTAAACAAATATCAAGAGCTATCGTTAACAGGGGACTGATGGACTCAAAGCACAGCTCCAATTATTTGCACCTCTGGCTCTCTTTAAAGGTATTTTGAGAGAAGAATGCTTAAAGAAACAGACAGACAGAATGTAGTTGAATGTAGACTTTGAAGCCCCACAGCAGTAACAGATGGGGCTGCTAAAGGTAAGGTTTAACATCCAAATGTGACAGCTATGCAGATACTGAATGAATCTGTGCTCGTGTGAATAATAGGACAGACATAATGAATGTTGACACTGCAAACCTTGTCTGTCATTATGCATGTACCCTTTATGACAAAATATTGTTGTGAATTCTATAAATAAATAAAAAAATACTTAAATTGTTTTACTCATTTTGATTATAAACATTTTACCTTTTTACCATCCATTTACATTTTCAGCATTCATATACCATTGATACAATAAATTGTGATATGAATGTTTCTGAAAGTAAATATTAATACTTATTTAATTTAAATAAATTAAATAAACTTAATACTTATTTATTTAGTAATTAATACTATAATAATACTAATATTAAAATGATAAAAACCATAATAATTACAAACTAGCAATTTGTGTACCAGCAACTGAGAACACCAACTTATACTTAGTCCAGCTTGTGCTCAACTGAATATTTGGTCCACAAAGATCACAACACCAAAGATTTGGAAAAGTTAGAAGGTTATTGAAGAAATGTAAAAAAATAAGTCCTAAACCTGGAATAATCTAAATTACCTAATTTTTTAAAATCTTTAAAATCTCTTGCTGGTTAATGGAAGAATGTTACCTTCCTGGCCTGCATGTAGTAGAGAACAAACTACATTGTTTTCATTAACAAAACATTTGGCATTTGACATCAAAACTCAAAATATCTAATTACAAATCAAACAGTTTTGTACTGGATCTGAGCAAAAAGAACCTTTATCGCTTTGTCCAATCATCTTTGAAATCTCAACTTTTCTTTTGCAGAAACTGACATCCTCACCTATCTGCGGTTAAGTCATGAAGAATGGCAGCTGACCCTGCTCGATTACGGCAAACCTCAAACACTTATGTCATCACAACAAAGTAACACATATAAAACTTTAGCTATATATAACTTTAGCTGAGTAATCTCATTAAATTAATTACTCCGAGCTGATTCTGGATGACAAGTTTTTTTCTTTTTCTTTATAAAACTTTCTTAGATTTCCATTTTCTTAAAAAGGATTTTATTCTTAAATACTTATGCACTGGTTTGGCCTAATTTCATAAATGCAATGCAAACTTTGTACAATAATGCCAATGCTCTCAGTGAAATTACAACACACTATGCATGGGTTTAACATAGACAAAGGCATCTTTCATTGCTGCCCTATTGCATCTTTTTGTTTTCTGTGTTATATGCAACTTTTAGCCATCTATGTTTCAAATATTAATTTCAAAGCTGTTTAGGCAAATAATTTTTAATTATTCAGTTGGCAGATTATTATTTTTTTAACAAAATTACACAATTAAGACAAGTAAGTACTGCACAATATTTTTCCTTAGCTTCTGGTTTGTCTTAAAATTCATAAATGTGAACTGTAATCTATAAAAGATTTTACTACTGATATAGTAAAATGTGTGGCATACTGATCCCAGTCAAACCTGAAGTCAAATATATAGGTATAATTATATGTAAAGATAAAAAATGAACACACTTTTTACACTTTCTGTGCAGCCCAAATAAAATTCTTGGTCACAGAGTGATTTATCAATAACAGGTTGTTTTCTAAACCAGATGGATAATTTTGGATTAGCTATCCTGCTTTAGCACTGAATGTTTCTGTTAAAATTTGTGAAATACTGGACAAAATTAAAGTAGATTTGTTTGGAACTGTAAAACTCATTCATTCATTTTCTTGTCGGCTTAGTCCCTTTATTAATCCGGGGTCGCCACAGCAGAATGAGTCGCCAACTCATCCAGCAAGTTTTTACGCAGCGGATGCCCTTCCAGCCGCAACCCATCTCTGGGAAACATCCACACACACATTTACACTCATACACTACAGACAATTTAGCCTACCCAATTCACCTGTACCACATGTCTTTGGACTGTGGGGGAAACTGGAGCACCAGGAGGAATGTATATCTATATAACCCCACATGAAGTCAGGGAGAAAATGCAAACTCCACACAGAAACACCAACTGAGTCGAGGTTCGAACCGGCGACCCAGCAACCTTCTTGCTGTGAGGCGACAGCACTACCTACTGCGCCACTGCCTTGCCACTGTAAAACTCATCTACAGTAATTAAAAATGTGAAAGCTGATTGGGCCATGTGTAGTTTTAAGTTCATTGAATTTTCCACACTTAATTTGTTTAAAGGATAAAGACATTTTTAAACAACCCAACATCATGTTGGAATTTTTATTACAAAATATATTTTTAGTTCAGTTGGAGGTTAACATTTTTTGCACTGTGATTTTCTGTAATTACTGTTAAATATATCTATTTTTTATAAACAGGCTTTACTAAGTTGGTCCCTTAGGCACGTACATGTTATTAGGACCAATAAAAATAAATCCTCTTTTTAAACTGGTTTAATAAAAATATACTTTTAATCAGCCAGTTCTTAGATGACCATGGCGTCCCTTTCTCGCATGAAAAACATATGCATTAATTTTCTTTTCCATCCCCCCAAAGAAAATATCATTGTTTTGGGTGCAATCCTCAGTCAAACCTGGCCAAAAAGGTTTTCTTTTTAATTTGACAACACAAATTTATTTTTCTCCAAAAGACCAAAATCATCTCTGTTATGTCAAACAAATTATTAATAGATCCAAATTTTATTTACCTGTTTGCGTAAATAAGATTTTAATATACATTTAAATAATATATTTGAAGACATGAAATGATGATAGTTTTGGCTACTTCCTTAAAAAAAAAAACTTTTTACTTTATATGAACTTTTTAGTTCATATTATCTTGGTTGAAAATGTTAACAACAGGCTAATAGCAGGCTGTGGTTTGAGATTTGGGTGTATCTCACATCACACGCTTGGATTTGTTAACTTCCATCTTCACATTCAATCATTTGCACATGTCCAGACCCACTGCTTCAGAATTGCAGACCCACCCAATCTTCCAAAAGCAATGATTACTGGAATTACCTTATTCCTCTCTCTCATCATCCTCTTTGTGTTTTGGGGATTGTTCAGAAAAAAAAAATCACCTGCGGAATGCTATTTTTTGCCAGAAGCTTTTTTCCAGAAAAACACTGTATTGTGCAATGTTGTAATCAATAAATCATTATTAATATTTTAGTAAGAGGAATGAAGCTCCTGAAATAGAGAAAAAAAAAAAAAAACAGAAATGATAATGACAATGAGTGTACAGAATGTACTTTCCAAAGTGACTAAAATTGTAATAATAGTTGGGGTGGAATTTGGGGTGTTTGGTGAAGGTTAGCTTTATTTGAAACTAGCACAAAAGGTCATCTGTATCATGCAATAAGGACACATTTTTTATGTTACATCTGTTAAAGTGGATACGTCCCATGGTACGAATAATCTGTTCAGCCCACATCCATCCACAACAGATGTTCTTTGTTTTTTATGTTCAGATACATGTGCGAGTAATAAATCCCTACACATGGGTAGTGTTTCAGCAACTACAACAAATATATACGCTGTATAATCCCAAATCAGAAAAAGTTGAGACAATATGGAAAATGCAAATAAAAAAGAAAGTATTTCCAAATTTTATTGCAGACAATATTTTATTTTGTCTGGTCAACTTAATTTCCTTTATAAATATACATTCTTTCCTGTCATTTAGACCTGTAATACATTCCAATTCCACTGGTTAAATGATGTATTTTGTAACAGATGATGTCAACAGGTGATTGTAATTATCATTTGGTACAAAAGCAGCATCCAAGAAAGGTCTAGGAGCAAAGATGGGCCGAGGACAGCCAGTTTGCCAACAAATATGTAAGAAAATTATTGAAATGTTTAAAACAATGTTCCTCAAAGAAAGATAGGAAGACATTTGGACATTTAACTTTCAACAGAGTATAACACAACTAAAAGATACTGAAATATCATGATCTCAAATCTCTGAGGCTACACTGCATCGAGAATCATCATTCATCTATAAGCGATATCACCACATGGGATAAGAACTACTTTCACAAAACTTTGTCAGGTACCACAATTCGTAGTTACATCCACCAATGCCTGTGAAATCTGTACAGGGCCAAAAGGAAGCCCTATGTTAACAGTGTCCAGAAGCATCTGAATTAAAGCTACTGTGCCAGATTTTTTTTTATAAATGTACTAGGAGGATCAAATGGTCTTTAAAGCTTTAGCTCAAAACACCTTTAAGATAATTTATTACACCCTGTTAAAAATGTTTATTTTTGGGTGAGTGGAAATTATAGCCGTTTTGGAGCTGGTTCTTCCCTCCCACTGTTCTGGCATGTCTATTTCTCCAGCTTCTAATGTCAGATAAACACAGCACGATGGCAGACACTGACACCAACTCAGACATTGACAAAGCAAAGATCCATTCACAAATACCACAGATGAACCAGAAAATTTCTCACTGGTTATTTGATATACTTTT